AGTCAGGAAGGCCTGAGTTCAAATTTGTCCTCAGACACTGACTAGCTGGATGACCCTGGGTGAGTCACTTCACCCTGTTTGCCTCAGTTTCCTCATTTGTAAAATGAACTGGAGAAGGCAATGGCAAACCACTCCAGCATCTTTGCCAAGAAAACCTTAAATGGGGTCACAAAGATTTGGACGTGACTGAACAACAACAACATGGGAGAAAGCACTACATTTGGAGTCAAAGGACCTGAATTCAAATCCCAACAACCATTGCGGTGTTGGATAAGTCATTTACTTTCTCTGGTACTTAGGCCAAAGGCTACAGGCTTCATCTGTAAAATGAATTTGTGAGTGTTTACTCTGTGCCCAGCATAGTGCTGGAAACACAAAGAAAGGTAAAAATATGGCCCCTGCTGTCAAGGAGCTCACATTCTAATGTGGGGAGACAACGTACAAAAAATAATAATAATACCTAATATTTATATTGTATGAACTTCCTCTGTGTCATGCATTGTGCTAAGCCCTTTATAATTATTATTCATTTGATCTTCACAACAACCCTGATGATCTCCATTTTACAGATGAGGAAACTGAGGCAATGACTTTCCCAGGATCACACAGCTTGTAAGTGTCTGAGGTTGGCTTTGAACTCCTAACTCCAGGCCCAGGATTCTATCCACTGTGCCACCTCATTTCCCCTTAAACAGGGCATAGACAGTTAAATAAAAGATAATCTCAGAAGCAGCTGGAAGACTGGGAGAAGCCTCCTGCAGAAGTCTTGAAGTAAGCCAGGGAAACTAGGAGCCCAAAGTGAGGAGGGAGAGCATTGCAAGCCTGGTGGCTAGCCTGTCTCCTCAGTAAAGCTGCAGAAAGGGGGCAGGGAGTGATTTTGAAAAAGATCATGGCCAGCTGCTATGGGGAGTTGGCTAGGAAATCAACAACAGAAGGATGCTGAGTATTCCTGAGCAGCAGCGAGAGCCCAGTTGAGATTAGAGGCGGGGCTCCAGTACCACCTTGGGTGTCAGTCTGATGACCCTGAGGGAGGTGATTGACATTTCTCAACCTTAGGGAGGCTGGACTAGATGAAGACAGTGAAGGCTGATCAGCTTCTAGGATAGAGGGGAAGTGGAGGGAAGGACAGGTGGATGGAGGGATGGAAGGGGGGATGCAGTGAAGCCAGAAGCAGCTTGGTGACCTAGAAGAAACAGGAGAGATCAAGCTGCTTTTGAGGGCAAAGAGCAAGTTTTGGGGGAGTGACAATGGCTTCTGCCAGGCCCTTTGTCTTTATGGAGTAGCGGTTCATTTTTCGATAGTCCAGCCAAGGACAGGACTGGGTCCTTTACTCCCAAGCTGGTCCTAGCCTCTGTTAATAGTATTTACTCCCCTACTGTTTCCAGGGGGCTGTTTTATGTGACACAATTCACCAACTCTCAGTCCCTATGTAGGGCCCTATTGTAGAGGTAGCCCAGGCCCCCAGGTTCTTTCCACCGGAAGTTGTAACAGGAGGAAGTGTGTGGGTGGTGAGGGGTAGCTGGTGAGGGGCCCCAGAGCTTCTGATGAAGAGAGAATGAAAGTGAAGCTCAGGTCTCAGTCCAAACAGTGAACCAGCCTGAAGATGCTCCTGTTACTGGCACTGCTGGGGGTGGCCATGAACTTGGTCTCCCTCACTCCCCAGAGGAGCCAGGACACTATGGCTGGTGAGGAGGGCTGTGACCTGGAGGAGGTGAAGGGGAGATGGGAAGAGAAGGGAAAGGAAGCAAAGCTAGGTGCCCCAGCTGACTGGGCCTAGAACCTTCCAAAGGAGGGGGGTGGGGCAAGATGGGCTGGAGGGAGTCCCTTTCCTCAGGCACCCTCCTCCCCTGCTGATTATTTGTGTTTGATTCCAACCTAGATTTCTTACCGATGTCCACAGCCTCTGCAACCTTCCCAAACGTACAGTGCTGGGTCTTCAATGTTGAATTCATGAATTGTACTTGGGATAGCAGCTCTGGACCCCAGTCTACCAACCTGACCCTCTATTACTGGTATGAAGGGAGACAGGGATGAGAAGAGGACCTAGGGAGCAAAGGAGGATGAGCTGGGAGACTGAGGCCTCATGGGAACCAGTTTGCCCAGAGGAGAAGTCCAGTTCAGGTTACAGGAACCCTAGCGGGGGTGCAGCAGGGGGGGGGCGGTGCTGAAGCTCTTAGTCTCACTCTTGGTTTTCCTTCAACCTCTTCCCTCAGGTATAGAGATCCACCCAAGGAATGTAGCCAATATTTGTTTGCTGGGGCCATCACTTCAGGCTGTTGGTTCGGCCGTGAGGACATTGATATATATAACAACTTCAACGTGGAACTCCGGGCTCCTGGTAGACATTTCAAGCAGGAAATGAAGCTTCAGGATTTGGGTATGAGGGCAAGGGAGAGGTTTGGGAGGAGCCTTGGGGGATGGTGACTCTTGCTCTTTCCCCATAATGTTCTAGGAACTGGTAGGGGGAGAGAGAGCGTTCGCAAGGGATCAGGGCCAGGCATGGGGAGGAACAAGGCCACTAGGGGGGTAGGAGGGTAACTTGATCCTACCCACATGCCCTTCCTCCAGTGATCCCTTGGGCTCCTGATAACTTGACAGTCTACAGTGTGAATGACTCACAGCTGGAGCTCAAATGGGCCAGCAGTTACAAGGCCACGTGTTTGCAGCACCTGGTACAATATAAGAGTGACATTGACTCCAGCTGGACAGTGAGTTGGGGGGGGGAGGAAGGGAGGAGGCCAGGCCCAAGGGTGGCCACAGGGCTGACTCCCAGTGCCCCTCATCTCCTGACTTCCAGTTCTTTCATCTACCCTCAGGCCCCTTTATCATCAATGTCACACACACACTCCGCCAGGCCCCACTTCCATGTTTCCTAGCGTGGGAGGTTGGGCCTTGGATGGTCATTAAAGGAACCATAGAAGGTTGGGATTCCAGGTTAAGGGACTAGCCTGGGAGAAATTCATCTGGGCAGTGCCGCTAGAGCCCCGACAGAGAGGGAAGAAAGGAAAGGAAAGCAGGCACCCTGACACCCAGGGGCCTAAGACCTTCCAAGGAAGAGGGGGTGGCCGCATGGCATAGGGGAAAGAGTGCTAGCTTTGTAGGCAGAGGGCCTGGGTTCAAATCCTCATTCTGCCAGATTTTAGGAAGTCCCTTCCCTTGTCTGGCCAGGGGTTCTCTCCTCAGTAAAAGGAAGGGGCTGGACCAGACATTCCCCTCTGAGCCCCTCACCAGCTCTCAACTTCTTTTTCTCTGAGCCTCTCCCGACAGGATGGCTGCAGAGAGGAGCTGAGGAAGGGACTGCTCCCAAGGGGGCATCCTCTCCTTTTTGCCCTCATTTCTTTGGCTTCCTCTTCCCCTAAGGAGCAGTACGTACACCAGAGGCAGCAGTTTGGCTTGCCCAGCGTGGATGAGCACAAACTTTACACGTTCCGGGTCCGAAGCCGCTTCAGACCTTACTGTGGCAATGCCCAGCAGTGGAGTCAGTGGAGCCCTGTGGTTCAATGGGGGGGCAGAAGGCCAAGGGGTAAACCCTTCTGACCCTGAGCTCTGCCTCGAATCCCTAATCCCTCTCCTCCTCCCTCCTCATCCTTTTCCACCTCGAATAACCTTCCTTCAATCCAGCCCAGTGGCAGCCTTCCCTCGGGCTATTCTGACAAACATTCGTCTTGGTGCAGGAGACAGTATGGAGGGGAGGTTGAGAAGGGGCTGGGTGGGATTGCTCTGGGCCCCTGATGGGGACTGTCTCCTGAGGTCCCTTCCTTCGGTGCCCTAGAGCGGCCCTCGCTGCCCGTGCTGGAGACTGTGCTGGTGCCCCTCGGCCTTCTGACTGGCTTCATTTTCCTCATCACCATGCTCACCCGGCTGGAGCGGTGAGACTTAGTGAAGGGAGCGGGGACAGCTGGAAAAGGGTCTCCAGCAGCTCAGCCAGCTCCCGGAGAGGGAGGGGGGCTCGCTCTCACAGAACCCTGACTCAGTTTGTCGCCAGTGGGACCCGTGGAAGCAGGACCTTGATGCTGCCTAATCTATCCCCCCAGGGTGTGGGTGGTACTGATGCCCCGAATCCCCAGCCTCAACAGCCTGGATGACCTGGTTACCACGCACCAGGGAAACTTCTCGGTAAGAACATAGACAGTCTGCCTGTGTGCCAGGCAGACCCCAAGCACATAGAGACCAACTGTTTGTGTGTGGTGAGGGTGAGCACACTAGCTGGCAGGATGTGGCCCAGTGACTAAGGGGGGTGGGGGCTGGGGTGCACATAAAGGTCCAGAGGAGCTCACTCACTGACAAAAGGCCAATGAATCAGGGAGGAAGCCCTGGAGTAACCTAGAGGATCCCTGGCCTTCTCACAGCAGCCTTCCTCCCCTCCCCCGGGCTGTGGGAACCTTTCCTTCTACCCCCCCCCCCCAATTCCACAAGCTAACCTCTGGCCTTGGGCGGCTATCTGTTCTTAGACTTGGAGCGGTGTGTCCAAGGGGCTGGCTGAAAGTCTGCAGCCAGACTACAGTGAGAGGCTATGTCACGTGAGCGAGCTCCCCCAGAAGGCAGGGGCCCAATCGGAGGGGTCCGGGGGCTCCCCCTGCAGCCAGCACAACCCTTATTGGGCCCCTCCACCATGCTACAGTCTGGACCCTGAGCCCTGAAGCTGGACTCAGAGACCCTACCAGCCAATGGCCAGGCTCTGGCCCTGGCCTCCTGAGGATGCTCTGCCGGCCCTCAGTGCTCTCTCCCTCAGCCCCCTCCTCCTTCCAGGTCCCCTCTTTGGGAACCTCTTCCTCTTGCTGTACCTGCCCCCCCCAGCTGTCCTGAATCTTTTCCCTGCCTCCCCCCAGGACTCTCCCTCCCTCCCTCCCTCCTTCATACTATTCCTAGATCAATAAAAAAAAAAAAAGAATAAAGTTTCAGTTTATGAGAAACAGGAATATTTGTGGTGTACGAGGGTGGAGGGGGACATTTGGGGGTGGGTGTGGTGAAACACTGGCCAGGCCCAGACTGTAGGCCAAGTTGTGCTCCCAGATAGTGAAGGTTAATGGGGGGGGGGTCCAAAGGTACACTTCTCTTGGAGCTTTCTCTGCCCACTCTGGGAGCTAGCCTGGAGTTGGACTGGTCCTCTTCAACCCCTAATCTCTTTTGGACCCCACCCCAGTTGCCCTCCCTTCACTGAGCACACATACAGCCTCATCATCTTTGCCTGACCTCATAATCACTCAGAACACTGGTCCCCACCCATGATCCTGCTGGTTAACCTTAAGGTTAAAGTTAACATCAAGGGCCTCCACTAGGCAGCCCACCTCTGCCCCTGACCAGTCTATGGGATCCATCTCCATTCTGACATTCCATTCCTCATCCCCTGCCAGTGTCCAGCAGACTTACATTCTATATGACTTCTTAGCCCCTCTCGGGAGGCAGAAGATCAGGCTGAAGACCATGTTCATTTGCATCAAGCATGGAGGTAAGGGGCAGGAGCCCGTGGAGAGCTTCAGGACCGTTTGAGGAGGCTAGAAGAACAGACTCTGTTGTTGGGCTGCTGCTTGGAGGGCTAGAAGGTGCTTTCCTGAACATCGGCTCATCTGAGCCTCGAGCCAGCCTCCTCTACTTTACTCGAGTTGGGGGAGGGCAGCCAGGTCTGGCAAACAAGTGGCTGCCAAGGGGACTTGAGAGCGGGCAGGGCAGTTGCCTCTTGGCCCTCCTTGGTTCTCCTCCCCCAGCCCCCTCCCCGACTTACCAGTGCTCCCAAAGGAGGGCTCAGATGTCTCTGCTGCCCTTGTGTGTCTTCCAGACAACCAACAATTTCTGGCCAACATCAACTGCTCAGTTTTGCTGCTGTTGCATTATATTCGAAACAAAGTGGGGATGCACAATTCAGGTGAGAAGTCACCGGCCAGGGCTGGGCCCAGGTGAGAACCTGTCCATCCTGGGCCACAGGGGCAGCTCCTGCTTGTCCCATGACCTCTGCTCCTTTGCTCTCCCTCTGAAGTCTCCCTCTGGTTTCCCCCTAGAACTCATTGACCTTTGTGATGAGGCTGGGACTCTGAAGCTACTGTTTCTGGTGAAGTTTCTTGGGGAATCAGCCACCAAGTTCCTCCAAGCCAGAAACATTTACTACATTTGCAAGGTGGAACGTGGACCACCAGGTAAGAACTTGTGGTGTCCCCCCCCCCAGCTAGATTAAAGTTCCTCTCCCCCCACCCCTACCCCCGGGGTACTGTTTACCATCTTCCCAGGGAGAATCCCCCAGGGGCCTAATCTAGGACAATGCCTCAGAACAGAAGCAAGCCAGGACTGGGAGCTGGAGGAAGGAGTTCAAATCTGATCTCTGCCACTTTCAAGCTGTATGACCTTAGGCAAGTCTGCTCTGGCCCTGTTTCTTCCTCTGTAAAATGAAGTATTTGGACTAGATGGTCTCTGAGCTCCCTCCTAGCTCTAAGCTCAGGGGACTCCGATGTGTGGACCTCAAGAGAGGGTAGGTCTCTCCCTCCTCCCATTCCAGTCCTCATCTTGAGGATAGAATATAAATGGTGGCCTCCAGACCAAGAAAAAAAGTGGAAGTGGGGTGGGGGTGGAGGGTGAAGTTCCAGTTGGACTCTGAAAGTCTAAGAGTTTGGCTGGGGTAGGGCTTCCACCTGGGGGTAGCTCAAAGCTCTGTTTTCAGGGACTAGAAGTGAAAATGCTTACAGGGCTTTTGTGCCCTTGCTGAAGGAGCCAGAGCAAGAGTTACTGGGTATGGATCATGATGGGGGCAAGGTGGGGAGGCACATAAGATAATCTGGACAAAGGGGAGAAAGAGGGCACTGAAGACAAGATGGGGGGTGGGGAGAGGGCCCTCGAAGAGGGCTAGGGCCAGGCCCTATTTGGGGGGGGGGCTTTCAGCACAGATTCGATAAAGTGCTCCAATAGTCAGTCTCCAATCATTTCCTGAAGGCCTGCTACTGTATGCAGTGCCCCGTGCCACGATCCCAGGGACATGGCTCCTCCTACCCTTAAGTTGCTTAGGGGCCTGGGGAAGGAGGTCATGTACTCAGGCTGTGCTAAGTGCAGTGAAAGCCAAAGTGAAAGACTGGAAGAGGGAGAGATTAACGGAAGGGAGTTAATGGACCAGACCCACCATTTCTGTGTATGTGTGTGGTGTGCTAGGTCCCCTGCAGCCCAGCTCCCTGACCTTCATCATTGCCATCTTTCTCTCAGTCTCTGTCCCCTTGCTTCCCTGTTTCCATGGCTATGAGTATCAGGGCTTCTGATGGTTGCTTGGGCTAGGGCCAGGCACATGCCACATGGGCCTCTGCCCCTATTCCTCACCAGTAGTTAGAGAAAGTCAGGAATCATGTGTGACCTCAACAATTTTTGCTTGCATTGGACAGTGAGGCTGCTGTCCATTCCAGGCTAAGGTGGAAAAACCCCAATGACCAAGGGTACGGTTTAGGCTAGGTGGGGTCTCAGTGAGTCTTAGTGACCATAAGGAAGATAGGGCATTTCCTTATTGACCAGGGGACTCATGTTCTCTTTCCTGGGCCCAGATGCCCTTAAATCACAGTGTGACCATCTGGAAAAGAGTCGAATAAAGATGCTCCGTGGTCAGGACACTAAGAAAATCATTTCTATAGACTCTTACCTGCACAAGCGCAGACGGGTGAGACTTCTTGTCCCTGCCTACCCACAACCCTATCAGCATTCTTAGCCCCTCCCCGAGCTCTGCCCCCTGGCTGGCCGCCTAGGCTTCTCCACCTTTCCAAACTGGACCCTCCCTGATGTGGTCCCACAGCCATTTCCCCAAGTTGATAGCATCCCCTCCATTGTCAGGCGTATAGAGCCAACTGCTTAATAACTGCTTCCCCTCTTCCCCATCTAGACCAAAAATATAAGACGAGTACGAACACCAGAGACAGTGGAAGAAGAGACAGTCAGTCGAAGAGGGGTTTCTTCACTTTCCAAGAGTAAACCTGAAACCATTGGCAAGAGAGATAAACGCCGATAAGTTAGTCAATAAAGGGTGGAGTAGCAGCAGTGATACCTGAGCAGGCTTTCCTGGCTGGCTCAGTACTGGCCGGGGGAGTCGATGGTTCATGTTCCTGTGGAACAAGACCTGGGGGCTTGTGGTGGGTTGCAGGCTCCATAAAGTATCTGATGGGGGGGTAGGTGGGCAAAGGAACAGACATGGAATGTTCCACACAAGGCACCTGGGAGTCCCTCTCTGGAGCCCTGGGTGAGACCACATTTACTGCAGGACTGGGCTCAGCCCCGGGAGCCACCCTTTAAGAGGGGCCAACAGAGATCAACATCCAGAAAGGGGAGACCAGGATGGCCAAGGGACCTGTCATAACGTCCTTGGGGAGGAGCAGTTGAAAAACCCTGGCATGTGGAACCTTGGAGTTGATAAGGACCACAATCACAGTGGTAGAACTCCCCATTCCAAGAGAGCTGGAGCCAATGGTAGGGGGTAGGAGTCCCATGCTGCTTTGGGCTCCAAATGAGAAAGCTTCCTAACACGAACTGAGGGTCACTGAACAATGGGATAGACTGCTTTAAGAGCTGATGACTTCCCTGTCCTGGGAAGTCTTCCAGATGGAATTCTTGCCTCAGATTGGAGGCTGACTTAATGGACTTGTAAGGTTCTTTGCCTGGATGAGGGCAGAGTGGGTCCCAGCAGCAGAGTGGAGGTATCGGAGAGAAGAGGATACAGTGAGTACAAGAAGATGGTGGGCAGATTGTGAACGTGAGGCGGCAGGGCCTGCTTGAGGGCTTGTCACACGCCCTCATGGCATTTGACTCCCCCAGTACCACCGAAGGCCAGAAATGCCCACTTTCCTTCTCCTGGCCACGCTTTGTAGTTCTTCCATTCCAGGTCTCCCAGGAGAGCGAGGAGGTAGCAGAAACCAGGGCCAGTTCTAGGTATTTATTTCTTTATTTATGTTTCCATTTATTTAATTTAATCATTTGACACACTTTCTCACTTGGATCTAGTACATACATACATTGACACAATCTGGGCAGGACCCAGGGACACGATGGGAACCCACAGCAGGAAGGGGCAAGGGACTGTGCTGAGGGAGCTGGGGGAGGAGCTGGCCGAGGCTCTGAGGAGGGTAGTCTCTAGACACCCACCCAAGTCATCCCCTAGCCCTGGCGGTGTTGGTGGTGGTGGTGGCGGCGGTGGTGGTGGCGGTGTTGGTGGTGGTAGCGGCGGCAGCGGTGGGAGCAGCAGCAGCGGCGGCGGCGGCAGCGGCAGTGGCAGTGGCAGTGGCAGCGGCGGCAGCAGCAGCAGCGGCAGCAGCAGCACTGAATCCAGTGCCCAGGCAGGAGCTCCCAGGACTGAAGACTGGCCCTGGACCCAGGGCACTTCAGCTCCTTCCTTCTCCAAACAAATGGGGGATCCTTCCCTAAGCCACCACAGGCCCCCCAGCACCCTTGGCCTTCCTGGGATTGGCTTCTCCCTGGGGAGACCAGGCTGTTCCATCTTTCTGCAATTCCTCTCCCCCTTTCCCCTGGGGCTTGCCAGGGACTGACTCTCCTTCCCTAGCATCTGGATGTGTCTGTCTGTCTGTCTGCTGTCTGTAGTGTTTGCCTTGTGTCACGATTATAAAGCCTTCACAAAGAAAAGCAATCCCCCCCCCAATCCCTAGCACCTTGCCTCTCTGTTAAAATCTCTATACTTGTGTTTATATATCGTAAAAAGTTTATAAAAAGCTTTTAGGTTATCTGCAGCTTTCCAAAGGGTTGCCTTGGCCTGGCTGGCTGCTCCAGGGCTCAGGCTTGGCCCTCCTCTGTCCCTGCCCCCACCCACCCCCAGTTTGGGGGTCACTGCATAAAAAAAACCCAGGCCTTGGCTGGCTGTGGCCAATCAGGCTCAGCTGAGCAGAGTGGGCAGAGCGAACAAACCCAACGGGGAGGGAGAGAATGAGCTTAGCCCAGCTTAGCTTAGCTCAGCTCAGCTCAGCTCAGCTCAGCCCACCCAGCCTGGCCCAGCCCAGCCCGCCTGGCCTGGCCTGGCCTGCCTGGATAAAGCTCTCTACAAAAGGTCCTGCTCCCAAAGGCAGGGGTAAGGCCACTAGCGGCTTCACATTCCCAGGAGCACTGCCTGCCCTGGCAGAGGCCCCAAAGCCTTTGGGGGAGTGTGTGTGTGTATATGCGTGGTGAGTGTATGTGGCAGCGCCCAGGGACGCTCTGATGGGGGGCAGGGGGAAGGGAACAGAGGCAGAGGGTGGCTCCTGGGAGGGGGGAGGGGGGGCCTTAGCCCCTGTTGGCACAGTGAGAATAACCCCCTCCCTCCCACCCCTCAGATACCCCCTTGAAAGCAGTTGGACATTTATAAGTCCCCCATGCCCGGACCTGAGGGACTCTGGTCCCGGGGGAGGGACCAAGGGTAGGAAGGAAAAGGGACATTCTCGGCTCCTTCTTGGGGGTGGGGGCAGGGGAAGGAGCTCCCAGCTACGGTCCAGGGACCTGTTGGAGGAGAGACAGAGACAGAGACAGAAAGAGGAGTAAGAGGGAGGGCCCACTGGGGCCCTATGGACAACGTGGAGGAGTACCACGGCCCTTTGGGAAGGGGGAAGACGGGAAATCCCTCTCTGGCTCCCAGGCCCTCCTTCCCCTCTACAGCCCACCCCTGGCCAGCGGGCTGCTCTGTTCTCTTACCTGGTCAGACTTAGCTGGGGACCCAGGAGTGGGCAGAGGGTTGGGAGTTGTTAGGGTAACTAGGAGCTCCAGACCCAGGCTCGAAGTTGAAATCCAACCCTTCACCCCCATCCACTAGGTCGCTGATGATGTGATCCATGTCACACTCCAGGTTCTCTATGTACACGTCTAGGTCCAGGTCCTGGGGCATTTGGTCTTGGTCTGTAGCTTCATCGGAGAGAGGGGGCACAGCAGGCTCTGGGGCCTTAGGGGCAGGGGTGCTTTCCATGCCCACAGGTGGCGCCATCAGGGCAAGGGCAGGAGGCAGAGGGCCAGGGCCTTGGCTTTCCAAGGGCTTAGGGCCCAGGCTGACCCCTGGGGGCAGTGGGCTGGAAGCAGGCAGCCCGCTGGGCAGAAGAAGGGTGGAGGGTTGGGGGAGGATGGGATCTACTTGGGTCATAAGGACATCAGTGGAGGGAGGGGAATCAGAGGTGAGCAGGGCCTCCAGAGTCTGGGAGCTGGAGAAGCGCCCTTCCCCAGGTGGCAGAGCCCCCTCAGAAGGGCCAAACAGGGGGCCAGTAAAGGCAGCTGCAGGGCCAGAGCCCCCAGCAGGCTGCAGGGAGAAGCCCGAGGCAGCCCCCTGCGGCAAAAGGGGCCTTGGGGTCGCGAGATTGAGGCCATCCAGCAGCTCAAGCTCCTCACTGACTGTTGGGGGAACACTGCCTGGGTAAGTGAGGGAGGCCAGCACCTCCTCCTCAGCCACCCCCCCTTCAGGCTCTGGTCCCAGCCCTGTCCCCATGGGGGACAGTCGGGCACTGGCCATGCTGGCATTGGAGCTGCTGCGTGGGCGGAAGGCCGTCCACACCTCAGAGTCATCAGGGCTCCGTGGACTAGGGCTACCTGGCCATCTGGGGTAGTAGCTCCCTGGGCTAGCGGGAGCAGGGCCCTCAGCCCCCTCAGGTAGTGCTGCTGTCTTCTTCTTGGAGGCCTTGGCCCGGCCGCGGGTCAGCTTGCTGCTGTTGTCCATGGAGGCTGCCCTCCTGCGCGGGGCCTTCCCACTCCTGCCGCCCTCGGGGTTTAGCATCCACCAAGAGCTTTTGCCTGTGGCCTCGTTGTGGACCTTGATGAACTTGCTATGCAGGGAGAGGTTGTGTCGGATGGAATTCTGTAGGGGCACAAAAAGGTGGGGGGGGGGCTGTCAGGCCTGAGGTGGCCCTGGAGGGAACTGGCCCAGTCCCATCTCTCCTGGCTAGGCTGGCTGAAATGTGATGGGATCTGGGAAGGCAGGGTGCTAGTCCTAAGATCCCCACCTCCGAGGGCTGCCCGGCCCAGCACAGAATGTTCTCATACCTGGCCCCTGGAAGCCCAGAGTGCTATCCTCTCTAACCCTAAATCCACTTCTGAGCAGAGTGAGGGGGACTGATGCAGCACATTAAAGAGGTACATGTGGTTGCTGGACCACTGGACTGTTCCACTGCCCCATTCCCCCAGTGCAGGGTTGAGGGGGGTTTCTGGAGCAGAAGCATACTGAGGGGCCAGCAGTGGGGCAAAGTGGAAAGAGCCTGCCTGGGAAGGAGGGGGCCGACATAAGTCCTACGTGGCCCACTGGCTAGTGACCCTGGCCACATCCAGCACTCCTCCCCCAGAGCCTGTTTCCTCATCTGCCAAGTCAAGGAATCATACCAGCAGTGTATCAACATAAGGGGGCTCGTATCCACTATCATCATTCTTATCACAGACATTATTCCAGGGATGCTATAGCATATGGCGGCAAACCATGCTTTGTTGCTTCTGGAGAAGAATTAGCATCCCAAACGAAACCAAACAGCTGTTATTTACTAGCTAAGCAGCTTTGAGCAAGTCTCTTCTTTTTGGACCTCAGTTTCCTCATCAATAGAATGGGGGGGGTGGCCTAGCTGCCCTCCGAGGTCTCATCCAGCTCAGGGTGACAGAAAAGCAGATGGTGGGTGCCCACCCAAAGGAACACTGACCCCATCGCCAGGCGATGTGGGCAGGGTCCACGCAGTGACCCTGGCTGGGGAGTCAGGAGACCTGGGCTATTAGCTGGGTGACCTTAGCTAAGTCACGTGGCCCCCAGGTTGGGAGGGTTGTTGTTAAGGTGAATGTATGTGTCCCTGTCAACTAGGAGATGGTATTCAAGTGCTAGTGATTGTCATCACTTTCATTAGAGAAATGAAAGAATAAATGAATGAACTCTGAAAAGAAGAGGAGGGAATACAAAATTTGCCCTGGAGACCTGGGTTCAAGCCCTGCACATACCAGCTATGTGACTGCAGGTAAGTCACTTAATCTGTCATTGTCCCAGGCAACTCTAGGAGACAAATTTACAAATGAGTGGCTGACTCGAGTTAGTGGTGTGAATTTCTGTACTAGGAGAGGAGGAGGAGGAGAAGGAGGAGAAAAAGGGGGAGGAGGAGGAATAGGAGAAAGAGGAGGAAGAAGAAGAGGAAGAAAAGGAAGAGGAGGAGAAGGAGGAGAATAAGGGGGAGGAGGAGGAAGAAGAGGAGGAAGAAGAAGAGGAAGAAAAGGAAGAGAAGGAGGAGGAGGAGAGGCAGCAGCCACTATCAGAGGGTACAGCCACAATCCTGAAACGCTGTATCTTTCTAAACATGCCATGCATTCGGTAAACCCTGAGTTCAGTCCTGAGCCTCCTCACCTGAGGATTGAGTTACCACCATTGGCCAAGGCCTCATCTCACATCATCATCAGTAAGATTTACAGAATGCCTACTATGTGCCAGGCACTGTGCCAAGCATTTTACAAATTTGATCTCAAACTATCCTCACAATAATCCTGGGAGGTAGGTGCTACTAGTACCCCCATTTTACAGATGAAGACACAGGCAAGCAGAGGTGAAGTGACTTACCCAGGGTCACACAGCTTGGAAGTGTCTGAGGTGCCATTTTGAACTCAGGTCTTCCTGACTCTAGGCCCATCTGTTGTGGTGCCACCTAGCTAGTCTATGACTGCATATTGGAACGGCCAAAGCCCTGGCTCATTTCCTCCCCTTCCACATGGCCCTCAGGCTGGCTGGGCCAGCCTTTTCCCACTTTCATTCTCCTGTCTGGAAAGCTTTGCCTTCTCTCCATCTCCCATCCCAAGGCTCACTTCCTCCTTGTATACCTTCCCTGTGTGTCCTCTAGGGAAGGCTCTGCTCTGAGTTCCAAGCCGGCCCTCTAGCCTGTCTGGCCCACACAACTGGGCACTTCATTACTGCCTGCTAGAGCTCTCTCCCCTCTAAGGTCACCCTCCACCTCCCCATGTGGATCTGGCAGGAATGGACTTGGCTGTTTTCATTACGCTGATCTCTTCCATTCGAATTTAAGGCAGAGTTGGATTTGGCCTTTGGGCAGCCCCAGTTCTTAGCCCAGCGCCTGGCACACAGTATGCGTCCACCCCCCATAAATGCTTGCTGATTGATGACTGACGACTTCATGAGTTTCAGCCTCCCCGACCCCAACTACATCGGAAGCTTCCTGAGGCAGAGCCCTTCTCTCAATTCTTCCTCCCCTTGGGGTGTCTGTCTAGCTGTGCATCAAAGGACACACAGTAGGCACTTGATATATCTCGGCTGACTAGCTGATTAAGTGTTTTCCTCTCTTGGGTGGCAATGGTCATGGAGCTGCCCTCGGGGTCCCATCAGTTCCTAAGTGCCCCGTCCCAGCTCTGCCCGTGCTGGCATCAAGGCTGGGAGTCAAGGATCAGCGAAGCCTTTCTATGACCCCTCTCCCAGTCATTTAGTCCAATACTCTCATGTGGCAGAGAGGGAAAGTGAGGTAAGCCAGAGAAGGGAAAGGACCTGCTTAGTTCCCAGCTAGCTTGAGCTGAGAGAAGCCACATGGCCCACACCGTGAACAAGTGGCCAGCTTGCAAGCCCTTCCTAACCTTGCCCTTGCCCTCAGTATCCTGGACTCCTCCCACTGAGGCTCAAACCATCCCCCCAAGCTGGCCACAAGTCCCAAACATTCCTCATTTGTAAAATCAAAGGAGGTGCTGGAGAAGCTGATAGGTCCCATTTCTTCAGCCTTTTCCTCATAACAACCCTTCCAGGGACAGGTGGCTCTATTTTACAGAGAAGTAAACTGAGGCTCAAGGACGGCCCCCTTCCCAGCTCATTTATATAGAAAGTGTCAGACATTCTGCATTTGGGATTAACACTCTGGAAATTCCCTCCAGCTCCCCCAGGACGTAGAGACTCAGATTGTGGGGGATGGGCTCCGCAGTAGAGCCCGATCCCTCTAGCCTTCAGCCTGCCTCATGACTGCTTCACTGACGAGAGGGTTTTTTTTCCCCATGTTCCTTTTGGGGACACTAGGGTGAGGGCACCACTGCTGCCATGGCCACACTGATACTGACTGACGTCATCTGAGAGAGCCCCCCCCCCACCTCCTCAGCCCGGCTGGGCTCTTAGCAACACACGCCACAAAGCTGAAGATTCTGGATGGGAACAAAATGAACCCAGGTCCAATGGCTGGCCCCTTGCTCCCTCCAGCTCCTCAGGCACATCCTTTCTCTCCCCTCTAGCTCTCACAAGACCCAGCTGCTTTAGGAAGCTGTGGCCTGACCTTTCAGGTGTAGAGATCAGATGAACAGCCCCTAGAAATTCACTTCTCCTCCAATGTGGGAGCAGGCAGCCTAATCATTGGGCCCCTAATCCTACAGGATTCTATTGGACCCTCCTGGGGTCCAAACAGGGGGACCTAGTGATGGGACTGCCCCGCCTGGAGTCAGGAAGACTTGGGTTCAAATCCTGCCTCTGACACTTAGCTGTGTGATTATGAGCAAATCATTTCCCTCCTCTAGACCTTAGCTTTCTCACTGTCAAAAGAGGGGCAACACCCCTAGTGCCTGTCTCCACGTCACAGAGCACAGAGCTGCTGTGATGTTCAAATGACATCATGTTGGTAAGGAGCTCAGGAAATGTCAGTTATCCTAATTACAGTGAGAATTGGGACTTGAGCCAAAGAAGCCAGTTCAAGCATGACTGGACCAGACATTCCCGACCCCCCCCCCCATCAGTGGCTTCAGGCTTAGCCTTCCTATTGCAGGTGGGATGACAGGGCCATCTTGCACTTGGAGCCCCTTAGCCCAACTGGAGAAAGAAGAGAAGCCCCTCTAACCCTGAGCAGTCAGCAACCAGTGGCCCTTCCTTAGATTCCAAGCGAGGTCGTGGGAGAAGAGCAGTGATCTGTTTTGGGGGGAGGGGGGGCAGAGCAGGCTACCTGGGGGACTGCACCTTGGTTTGGCAAGCTCAGCCTTTCAGTCTATCAGTGCCTGCAGCACTGATCAGAGCCTTGCACAGAGTAGGCCTTCAACCCCTAGGGACAGTCTGGACCTGAGGCTCTACCTTCTTTGCCCGGTGGTGGTGATTTCCCTGCCCTTTGGGCCAGCTGCAGGTGCAGGCTGCCACAGCTGGTTGGGAAGGGAGGGGGCAAACGGCTGTGGTGGTGGTGGTGGTGGTGGTAGTGGCGGTGGCGGTGGCAGCAGCAGCAGCCCGAACCTTGGAGAAATCCACCACCACCACCCCCCTTTCAGGGCTATAGATCTGTAAGCCTCATGAGTCTCAGTTTGCAAGCCATCTCTAAGGAGGTACACCCCTTTTGGGGGGCACCTTGACGCTCAGCTTCCCCCCCAATCATTCTGTAATGATGCTAGGATAGCTCCCGTGATCTCTGCCTCAAGATAACATCCTAGAATTTGAGAGCTAGAAGGGCCTTTCCCCATCACTGAATAGATGAATGGATGCCGAACCCCTCCATTGCTGTGCCGAGGACAGTTCGGGCAAAGGCCCTGCCGGTCGGCAGCCCTGGGCACAACAGGTGGTGCCCGCAGTGCCGACTCCCCGGGGGCTCCTCTCAGTCCCGGAGGGGCTGCAATCATTGCCTGCTCAGCCTTTCCCCTCCAGCCCTGCCTCTGCGGAGCCCCCGGACGGATAACCCCCTCTGCCACCTTCCCCATCCAGCCCACCTCCCCCCCACCCCGACCCCCTCCTCACCAGGGCCAAAAGAGCTCTGCAGCAAGCACGTCCCCACCGAGGCAGCGGCAGCGGTGGCAGCGGCGGCGGCGGCAGAAGGAGGGCAGGGCAGGGCAGGGGAGGGGACGGCAGGGGAGGGGACGACAGGGGAGGAGAGGGGAGGGCAGCGCAGGGCAGCCGTCGCCCCCGTCCGCCCGTGTCTGCCCGCCTGCCCGGGGCTGAGAGGCTGGGGAGGGGATGTAAGGGCGCCCTCCCCGTCGGTGCGGTGCGGCACGGGGGCCAGGACTGGGCTGCGGCACACAGCTGGCGGGGGAGGGGGCGGGGGGAAGAGAGAAGGGGAGGGGAGGAGAAGAGAGGAGGAGAGGGGAGGGGAGGGGGGACGCAGTACCTTCCATCCGGCGGAGCTGTTGCTGTCGCCCTTGTCCTTGAAGTAAGGCACGGAGCGGACCATCCACTCGTATATCTGGGCCAGTGTCAGCCGCTTCTCTGGGGCGCTCTCAATGGCCTGGCTAATAAGCTCGGCGTACGACTGGTTCCCCCAGGCGTTCCGGCGGGAGCCACCCTTGCGGGGCCCCGTGGCGGCGGCGGCGGCGGCGGCAGTGGCTGCGGCGGCGGCCCCGACGGGGGCCCCTAGGCGGCCGGTGGCACCGGGCCCCCCCCCGGGCTCGGGCAGCGGCGGCCGCGGCGGCGGCGGCGGCAGCAGCAGAAGTGGCGGCAGCGGCGGCCCCGGTTCAGGCCGCCCCTCGGGCCCCAGAGTCGCGGGCTCAGGCCGGGGAAGGGGCCATGTGCACGAGCGGGGCCGGCTCTGGGGCTCAAAATCGGGGTCGACGTCCAGCGCGCGCGCCGCCCCCGGCCCGGGCTCCCCATCCCGCTGGCCGCCGGGCTCCATGCGTGGTAGGGCTGGCCTCGCTCGGGGGGCTCAGCACTCCGGGGGGCCGGCCCGGGGGGCGGCGGCAGGGGCGAGGGGGGCCCGGGGCTCCCGGCCCATCCCTCCTCTTCCTCCTCCTCCTCCTCCTGCTCCTGCTCCTCCTCTTCCTCCCCCGGACTGATCGGTGGCCCCCGGCCGGCTGGCCGGCCACGAGGGGGGCGCCTGCCTCTGCTGCCTCTGCTGCCCCTACTGCCGCTGCTGCAGCGGCGGCGGCGGCGCCCCGGGGGCTCCTCCCCAGACGTGCCTGCAAGGCGGCTAGTCCCTGGAGTCTGCCCGGGCCCGGGCCACTCTCAGCCAGCCTCCCTTCCCACTGCTGCCGCCGCCGCCGCCGCCTCCTCCTCCCCGGGGCACCGAGTCACGCATGGCATGGCTCTTCTTACCCCCTCCCCCGGCCGGCCCCCACTCGCCCCTCCCCCCGCCCGCCCGCGCCGGCCCCCGCCCGGCCGGGCCCTCGGGGCCTCGGCCCCTCCGCCCCGGACCCGCGCCCTGAGCACCCCGCGCCCCCCAGCCCGCCTTCCCCTTTTGTTTTGATCCCACAAGCAGCACCCCCAGCTTGACGTCTCTGTTTACCACTCGCCCAAGGGACCCTTCGCGCATGCTCTCTCCGGGACTCCTCCCGGGCGCTGGGGGCGGTGTACTACAATTCCCAGCGTGCTCCTGGACGGCCGTCCGTCCCGGCCGGTCCCGGCCCGCCCCTCCGCGCCCCGCCCCTCCCCGCCCGTCCTAGCCTAGCTTGGCCGGGCGGGCAGCGGAGGCCGGAGCGCGGCAGGAAGCCGCTTGCGTGCCTCGGCGGCCTCTCCTCCTTCCGTGTCCCTTCAGCCTCGGTTCAGAGGCGCGAGAGCTGCTGGGGGTGGGATGGGATCGCGAGTCCAATCCCTTCATTTTGCAGGCGGGGAAACCGAGGCTCTGAGAGTCGAAGCGACTCTCCCAGGGTCAAGCAGAGGCTAGAGGATGTGCCGGCAGAGATGAGCTTTGAGCCCAGGGCCCTGGCCTCCAACCCCGAGTCCCTAACCATAACTGTTAGCTGTTCACCCTAGCTGCCCAACAAGCCACTTTGCCTCCCAAGGACAGACATGCCCATGCAGCCACCTTGCCCAGCTGGCACTGTCGTAAAAGAACTTAAAAAAGCCCCTTGGACGTCATCTAGCCCGCTCTTTCAGTGCCATGGAGGATGAAACAGGCCTAGGGTCACACAGCTCGGACATGGCAGGTATCAACCTCTGGCCTTGACCTACAAATCTAGAGCTTGTGGGCTGCACAGTCAGAGGAGCCAGGATTGACTTCAAGCTTTGCCACTTACATACAATCTCTGAGACCTTGGGCAAGTCTCCAAATTCCTGGACCTCAAATACTTACCTCGGACTAGCTGATTTCCAAGGGCCTATCCAGTGCTAAGTGCATTACTAAATACATTTTGTTATTTTCTTTCTTTCTTTTTTTAGGCAATTGGGGTTAAGTGACTTGCCTAGGGTCACACAGCTAGTAAGTGTCAAGTGTTTGGTCTGAGACCGAATTTGAACTCAGGTCCTCCTGACTTAAGGGCCGGTGCTCTATCCACTGAGCCACCTAGCTGCCCCTACTAAATACATTTTGTTAGGGCAAACAAGACAACTCCTCACAAATAGGCAAACAAATCCCATCACAAAGTACCTTTGCTGTTTCTCTATTTTAGACAGAAAGGGGGCTATGCTCCTTACCTTGGGGGCTTGGGCCTCCCTAGCGAGGACTAGTGTAATTGACCAGAGTTGTGTTGCCTCTCCAGCCAGTGGGATTAACTTCTTCCCTCGAATCTCTTCATACAAGGCTTCCCATGTTCATTCAAATTCTTGTCATTTGTCTTCTTTATGGTTTAGGCATATTCCATGATATTTGCATATCAGAATTGTTTCAGCCATTCCTCAATCCCTGGGCACATATTTCCTTTCTAGGTTTTTGTTATCACAAATAATGCCACTGCAAACTTTTGGACAACCCAGTAGCTTTTCTTGCAGGGTTCCAAATGGTTTTCCAGAAACAATGATCCAGTTTCCAGCTTCTCCACATGGCTAAACTTCAGGAAGTAGTTTACCTCCACTGGTACCTTTACTTCTTTACTACCCACTTGGGCTTCCGACCTTACCATGGTCCTAAAACTAGACTGCTCTCTCTAAAGTCCCCAGCGCCTCCTCATTGGACAAATCCCATAGTCCTTTTTCCAGTCATCATCTTTCCTGACTTCCCTGCAGCACTTTGCAGTGTCAAATGTCACTTCTACCAGATCCCCTCTTTTACTTTAGCCTCAGAGACCCCACAGGCTCCTGGTTCGCCTTCTACCTCTCTAACCATTCCTCCTCAATGTCTCCTTTGTGGGTTGCCAATCCTCTTTCTGAGCTCTCAATTTAGCTGTTTCCCAAGAGTCCTCTTCTCTCTTTACGCTTTCTCCCTTGGTGACCTCATTCTCTGTCACCATCCTGTGTCAATGCCCTGACCTCACCTCACATCCAGAACTTCATCTCCAACTGCCCAAAGGACAAGTCTATCTGGATGTCCTGCCTAGACCTCAAATTTAGCATGCCTAAGACCAAGCTGAATAGGTTTCCCCTGACACCTGCTCCTCCTCAGTATTTTGATATGAGCCATCCACATTCATGCTATTAGCTGTATTTAAAACCGGTTGGCACCCTTCATCAGTCATTGCCAACCAGTTCCCAAGATTGTTTGATTCACACAAAATCTCAGTGTTGGAAGAGAACTCAGAGGCCACCGAGTCCTGCCTGTGCCTGAATGAGAATCCTACCTACAACATGACTTTCCAGTGGTCTTTCAGCCTCTGCTTGAAGAGTTCCAAGGAGGGGGAGACCCATTGACTCCTGAGGCTGCCACCCACTTGGGGAGAGCGTTGATTGTGAGGGAGTTTCTCCTGCCTCCAGCCTAAATTGGCTTCTTCTAAACTTCTCTCCATTGCTGCTGGTTCTGTCCACTGGGGCCAAGGAGAACGAAGTTAGTTCTCTTCCACATGAGAGCCCTTCAAATGCTTGAAAATAGCTCCCATGCTGCCTCTGAGTTTGCTCTTCTCTAGAACAAAAGTCCCTAGTTCCTTCTTCGTTGTTCAGTTGTTTCCAGCCATGACCCCCTTTGGGGTTTTCTGGGCAAAGTTTCTGAAGTGGTTTGCCATTTCTTTCTTCAGTTCATCTTATAGATGAGGATTCTGAGGTAAACAGGATTAAGTGAGTGACTTGCCCAGGGTCACATAAGTGTCTGAGACCAACCGGATTTGAACTAACGAAGACGAATCTTCCTGATTCCAAAACCAGTGCTCTATCCACTGCAGCACCACCTAGTTGCCCTAGTTCCTTCTACCAATCCTTATATGTCATGGACTCATGGTCCTTCCCCATCCTGGTGATTCTCCTCTGCACATTTGCCAATTTACTGAATCCTTACTATAAATGTGGTACCCAGAACTGAAGACCTCAGATACTTCCTTCATTTGGGTCCTGAGCAGAGCACTCTGTCAGCCAGCATATTAGCTTTGTGACATCCGCGCCTTCATCAAAAAGAGCAAAGAACACCCGGAGCCCTCCGTGGGACATTCTACTGTAGACCTCTTTCCATAATATGTAACCATTAATAATAACTGGACTTTGCCGCTGGCTACTCAACCAGTTCCCAAATCGAAGTCTTATGTAGCCCATCTCTCTCTCCTTTCCCCCCGAATAGCATGAAAAGCTTGATCAAATGCTCTGCTAAAATCTGGGGAATCATACTGACACCATTCCTCTGATCTACCAATTTCATAACCAGTGAGAAATGGTTATAAGGTTAATCTGGTATGACTTATTCTTGGGGACTTTTTGTGATCACTGTTTCTTTTTGTAGATGGTCACTAACCCTCCTTTTAAATGATGACTGTGTTTGGGAATGCCCACTGGCATGTAGTATTGTGACTCATTCGCTTTCCTTCTGTTGCAACTTACCCTTCTACAATCTTCCCACCCCGCTGTCAATCTCTACAATTTCTCCAAGCTCACTGACCAGTAGCTAGCTTAGCAATCACATTTGCCAAGTCTTTTAGCACTCTGGGCAGCTAGATGTTCTCTTGCTATCTATTGCCTTACTTATCTTGAATATCAACTCCCTCTTAGCCATTTTCATTCTGTCCTTTCCAGTCCAAAGATCATCCTCCTTGGCAAAGAAAGCACAAGCCCAATAAGAGTTAAGCCTTTTCTCTCTCTCTCTCTCTCTCTCTCTCTCTCTCTCTCTCTCTCTCTCTCTCTCTCTCTCTCTCTCCCAATTTTGAACATTTTTATTTAAGCCTTCTCTTTTTCATCAGTTATCATAATTTTATCCACTATGAGTAGTAGTCCTTCTCCCCCACCCCCTTTTGATTGTTCTCTTCACTTCCCCCCCCCCCCGCTGTATAGATTTTGGGTTTTTTTGTTTTTGTTTTTTGGGCTAGGCAGTGGGGTTAAGTGACTTGTCCAGGGTCACACAGCTAGTAAGTGTCAAGTGTCTGAGGCCCGATTTGAACTCAGGTCCTCCTGACTCCAGGGCTGGTGCTCTATCCACTGTGCCACCTAGCTGCCTCCCCCTCCAGTATAGATTTTGAAAAGGACCACTGGCCCACTTTTGAGTATTGTCCTTAGCTTCCCATACTCTGAGCTTTAATCCTGCTGGAATGATTTCTACCGAGTCTTGCTTTTGTATTCTTCCTCTATGACCTTTCCTGGCTTCCAGATTCTGCACATGGCTCTTAAAAGCTAAGTTGGTTGGTGAATTTCTTGCCTAACAGGAAGCTATTGTCATAGTCCTGGTGAAAAAGTCCCAGACTTAGGTAGGGGCTGTGGGCGTAGCTAGAAGAGTATCCTCTTCTGTTGATGCTGTCTAATATGAAGTCTCAAAAGATAGGATAACTGCAAAGTCCTGAGACTGGAGGCATGAGCTAGTTAAACTGGGCAATACTTCAAAGCGCATTAATCGACAAATCTGAGCTGCAATCTTGTTACAAATCAAAGGGGAGACATTGGTGGAGACACAGAGCTAACAAGTGGGCTGGTGAAGATGCTGTCT